ATCACCTAGAAAGTTAGCATCAGGTAAATTATTCTTGTATCTCTGTGGGCTTGGGCTATGATAGTAGGCGAGAAAACCTTGCTGCATTTTTCCTTCCTTTTCTCTATGAGATGCAGGAAGATAAAGGAAGAGAACACCTCTGTGTCTGCCACGTACCCCCACTCAAGATCAGCACCTCAGGTTCCTTTTGGATGAGCCATGAAAGATAAACATGAAGTTTTAATGCTTTCTAGATACCAAGAGGCAGTAAGTGGAACTGGCCCATCTTACGTGGGGTGTGACTGCCGACTTAATGTGAGAAATGTCAGTAAGTTTGATAATGCAAGCTACCTTTTTTTCTATCAGGAGCTAAATAAACTTGATTCATTTTAAGGGCCAGATTTGGTTGTTAAAAATTGGTCAATTTTAGCTTTGAGCTTAATTAGTACTTTGCAGAGGTCTTGCCTTCAAAATTTCAGGGAGAAGAATGCATGGCGATTCTGCCTTGGTAGGCTCTTTTCTTCAGATAACTCCCCAAGGAAATCTGACAGCCGTTGTAACTTTGCTAACTGATCAGAAGACAAAACGTGATGATAAGCTAAGATCTGCTAGTGCTGAGAATATTTTGCTACACTGGCAGCAAAGTTTGCCAAAGTTTGACTACAGCAAAGCAGTCAGTCCACGGTCTTTGTTCTCAGGAAAAGTATTTGCTATCTTTTTCTTTTTTTTTCCCTCTCCTGCACACCCCTAATCATTCTGCTTGTGTCTATCTTATTTTACTTCTTGTTACTTTTGCAGTTGATTGTATTTCACAAGGAAAAAAAAAGGGGGGGAGGGGGGAAGCAAACTGAATTATAGCTAGCCAGAGGAGTTCAGGAGATTAAGAGGCTCTTATAGCAATATGGGGGGGTGAAGTAGTGGAGAATATCCATTAATTAATGAGGTGAATGAAATTATGATGATTTTAAAATGGCAGATTTACTTAACTGCTTTTTAAATTGATCTTTAAACAGGGTAAGTTTATTAAAAATTTTTAAAAAGGGAAAATAACTGAACCTCTGCTAGAATAACAGTTCTGAATAATGTTACTGTAGTTATTCATTAAAAAGCAATAGATAGTTGGAAATGTTGGAACATGTTCAATAATACCACGTTTTGCAATATTTGTTTTGGGTTTTTAATGGAAAATTCCCAGTTCCTGCAGTTGTTTTCAAGACATAAAACTCACTCAGAAGCATTGTTTCTAGATCTCATGGTTGTGTAGAAAAGCACATGAAAATGTGAGTAGGAGTTCCAAATCAAGACGACCCATAAGAAGTATGTCAGATGCAATATATGGTGTGTATGTAAGTATAAGCAAGGCAGTTTTTACATCTCTATATGACATTAGTGAGACCAGCAGTGAGATACTGTAGCTGATTTTGTGCTCTTATCTTTTTAAGTGTTGAAAAATTATACAGAAGTTGTCTAAACGGGTTGGAGGGCTAAAAGAATACTTTGCATGGACAGACAGATCATTGATTTTGGTTTTGGGTTTTGGGTTTTTGGTGGTGTTTTTTTTTTTAAATTGCTAACATTTTTCTAGTGATTGTGTTAAACATAGTATAATGGACTTAATTTGACAGTAGGTTTGCTGCTCTTAGATCACTTTCTGCAAGCCCTTTAGAAGCAGTCCACAGATTAACAGGACTCTGTAGAACACAAGTGGGAAGTCATTGAATCTCTTATTCGTACAGCAGAGGATGGCCTTGTCCAGCAGCCCTTGTGTCCCTGTGCGACTGAAATGTCCGCACGTGCCCAGCGGATCCCCGCCGCATCAAAGCGGGACAAATTGGAGGCCAGATCCCTTTCCCACATGCAGCCGCGTACGACAGACAGAAGGTCAACCATTTCTATTGCATATAAGAACACTGGAGTTCATTATGTGTAATTCAGTAGTAATTCACTAAAGGATACTTAGGATTCACTAAAGGATTATGTGTAATTCACTAAAGGATATTAATTTGGCCTGAGAACCCAGATCTGGAAGCTCAGCCCTGGCATTTTAGGCATATTAGGGATCACACCCAAGTTCTAAAGCAAATGACTGGCCGTGGCAACAAACTGCTGCAGGAAATGGTAAGTTCTGTGGTGTTTGACATTTCTGAAGCCATCTGGAAAGTCATGCTTTGGTGAGATGCGAGTTTTTCAGTTCACAGGGCTAGAAGGACAAAAGCTTTGGCTCTCTAGGTCTGTGACAAACTGGAGATTAAACTAGATAATCTAAAGTATGTTTTGGTATTAAACATTGAAGAGTCAGTAAGGTAGGATTTTTGAGTCGAGGCATTCTGGGTGGAGGTTCTGGTTCATTAAATCCTCCAGTTTGACAAGTACTTGAGCACATGACACTTGGTGTTGACAGATGAATGATCCAGGAAATGGTGACATGAGAAATACAGGTAAGAAATGACAAAAATGGCTATATCTCTAAGGAAAGGCGAGCTGACGTATCTAGTGAAAACCATCTCAAGGCCAGATGTTTAAGAAGAGATTTTCTATTTGAAAACCGTGCTGCTCGGAGCTGATGGGGGGGGCTTGCAGGCTGTACAGGAGTTTGTGATGTGAGTCAGTAAGTCAGCGTGACACCTCTCTTCTCACAAAGCTTGGAGAAAAGGACTGAGCAGCCCTACCTCCCCCAACGCAGAGGCCAAACCTAGAACACAGTGTCTGCTTCCAAATGCTCCTTGTCAAGCTCTGAACGTCTCAGTCTGAGATACGACCTCCAAATTTTAGTTGTTACAATTCCAGTCAGTTGCTAGTCTACTGCTGCATTGGCTGCTGTGCCCTCCTTTTAGTAGAATAATCTGTGTGCTTGTCTTTTAAAATTTAAAATGGCTCGTACGTTTTCGGTAATCAATTGTCCAAAGGACAGCACATTCCTGTTGGACTGAAGCACTTAGATGGCTGTAGTCCCTCTGTCTTCTCACATAGTCATTTTCTTGGATGGGAGTCGTCCCCTTGCATTGTCCTCCTGCTTCTTTCTCCCACGTACAGGTTGATGAAACAATGAAAGGGGTTTGATAGTTGCTTTATGAGACCAAAGATAGAGCTTCTTCTCATTTCTGTATTTTCCAGGCTGCAAATGTAGAACCGTGTTTGCACAGCTACATTCTAGCTACAGCTCTGCTAAGTGAGCCAGTTCTTGGTGCTGTCCTTCAGCCCCAAGACCACTTGACCACATCCATACTACCAGACACTCTTAGCCTTGAGGCAAGTGGCTGCATCCAAACAGAGCGTTTGTGGTTTCTGTTCCATGCAAAATCTTGAAAAAAGCCTGTGAATTGATCAGGAGTGCACTGGTTGTGCTGGACCAAGACCGTGCCAAAGACAATTACAGCGATTTAATAATGCTGCAGACAACCGTGTGTAGATACTACGGTGCCACTTCCCTGGGCAGTATGTAATTTGCTAGAATTGACATGGTTATACCCTCTGTGTCAAGGACAGACCTGTTCCCATTGCCTGGTCAGGTCTGTGGTGTGAGATGTTACTTCCCTGAAGAGATTCCCTTGCTACACCTGCAAAACCTATGGGCTTGGTTTACTGTGATGCATGTATCTGAAAAAAGACTAAATACAGCAATTGAAAAAGTTCTGTCACTCTGTGGCTCCTATTGGGGACTTCTCTGTGCTAGTGCAGAAATGGAAATGAGTGATCTTCAAAATTTGTGGAGAGAGATAGGCAGTCCTGTCCCTGGAAGGTCTAGCATAATCATGACAGCCATCATCCCTCTTTTTGTTTTCGTACGGTCCTTGGAATTCTTACTTGACTTTCCTGAGGCTGCTATTTGTCTGCTCTCGCTTGTAGGGATTGTACATTAGCTCTGTCACGTCTCCTGGAGTTTGAGTGATCTCTTCACCCTGCTCTCCTGCAGGAATTGTAATAAACTCTTGACTCGTGAGAAGATTCACCAGAAGGATGGAAAATGCCTTGATCTCTTTGCCAAGTTCTGTCTGCCCTCCATCTGCCAACCCTTCTTCTCAAGATCTTGAGTTCTGAAGGAGGTGATCTTGTAATTTGTATGCCATTTGGATCTGTAGTGAGGAGACTTAGGAAGAAAAAGAGATTAAGGGAGAATATTGTGATTTTTCAGTTCCATTTCTGGGCTTTGCAGCAAATACATGTTCATTGTTCTGGCGCCTTGGGAAGTTTAGGAGTTAAAAATGCTTTTGATGAGCCACCATCATGACTGAGTTACATGAGAAGCCTGCCTTTGGAGGGGAAAAGGCTGTAGACTTATTTCTTTAAATGAAAGCTCAGTAGTAATTGGATGTGCTGCACTTTCCTTGTTAGGGCAGGCGATCTGTGACAACATTCCAGGTTCAAAAGTTACTAACTTCAGAAATGGGACTTCAGTCAAATCAACTTTGGTCCCACAGGCCACTAGAATTTCCGCTAGGTGTGTTTTTTATCTTCTTTTTTTCAAGGTAGCAACAAAAAGTTGGGAAAACTTGAACTCTTTGTACTTAAGATTCGAAAGAGTTGAGACTCATAAATCTCATGTCATAACTGGTTAAAACTTCTCCAGAAAAACTCAACCTCTGACCTCGACCTAACAGTTTTGGAGCTGGGATTTCTGGGTGGTAGATATGGGCAAATGGGCAAAAATTTCACTGAAATGAAGTGGCAGCCTTAATTACTGAGCAACCGCTGTCTCTCTGTAGCGGCGGTTTATCAAAAGCAAAAGGGTACTAACTGCAGGTTTATTGTAGAAGGGGTAGGGAATGTTAGTGGAAGAGAGAAATGCTATTTGAGCACTTCAAAGAAAAGAAGCCCTTCTTCTACATAGTGAGACTAGCATTCATGGGAGGTTGCCTGCTGAGCTTGTTTGGAGGTGGACTGTTGGGCTGCCAACTCTGTCACATGTGAGACTTAAAAGTTTTGGGCCAGAATTGATCTTTCCTGCATGTAAGCTACTTTCCACGTACCGCAGAGAACTGTTGAACTGAAGTATTTGCTTTTACATTTTACCTTGTTTTTAGTCTGCTGGAAACCATGTCTCACTACACAGACGAACCAAGATTTACCATAGAGCAGATAGACCTGCTTCAGCGCCTGAGACGTACAGGAATGACCAGACATGAAATCCTCCACGCTCTGGAAACCTTGGATCGTCTTGATCAAGAGCATAGTGACAAATTTGGAAGAAGGTCTAGCTATGGAGGCGGTTCCTACAGCAACAGTACCAACAATGTCCCAGCATCTTCCTCTACAGCCACAGCTTCAACACAGACCCAGCATTCTGGGATGTCCCCGTCACCGAGCAACAGTTACGACACCTCCCCACAGCCTTGCACTACTAACCAGAACGGGAGGGAGAGTAACGAGAGGTTGTCTGCATTCAACGGGAAGATGTCACCTACCCGCTACCCGCTTGCAAACAGCTTGGCTCAAAGGTCATACAGTTTTGAAGCTTCTGAAGAGGACTTGGACATTGATGACAAAGTGGAGGAACTGATGAGGTTAGTAGAAGTCTTTGTAAAATGTTTGGAAAGTCAGAGTGAGAAATCCTTTGGAAGAAATCTGCATGTTGGAGGAGTGTTGTAGCAGTGATAAGTATTACCAAGAAAGCAGGAACTGAGTTAGACAGCTATTCCCCGGCTAGTTCCCTAATGGTCGCTACCTCAATACCTCTCCTCCTGCATCTCAGTCTTGTGTAGACAACCCCTGGCCTTGTGTGGGTATCCCACAGTCTGTTTTACTGTTGAAACACTTTTTCCCATGCTGTACCAAAAATTGAACCTGATGTTAGCTTGCTAATTTTCCACCCTGCTCTTACTCCGAAGACTTCTGACTGTCAATACACGTCTCCTCCTCCACTACTTCATGCCAGTTGTATTTTCTTCCATAGACAGGGGGAGTAGGGAATCTGCCTGGTTAATGCTTTCCACTGGGATCTGCAGCGCATATAGGTGATCTGTTTATAGTTTGTGGCAGGGGCTGACTCTCTTTGGGATTTGCACAGTCTGCAGACTGGCGTAGGAAAAACCAAATAATAAAGCAGAAGTCTTCAGTGAGACCCAGTTGGGTTTGTTGGGTTTTTTTTCCAGACTGACCTTCCTTTACTTTTAGGGGCTTCCTTTTCAGCATTATGGCAAAGATGAAAGGAGGGGATTATGCCACTGAGGACGAAAGTCAGAGTCAGTGGGCTTGACAACAAAAAGAAATAAGAGGAAAGGCCAAATGTCTCAAAGCAATTTTGGTTGTAATGTTGGAGTGTCTTTGTTCCCCCCCCCCGCCCCCAAAATTGCAACTTTTATGAAGTACCTATGAGAGAACTAGGGTCCATAAGCTCCAGGATGAAAATATATTTGAAGTAGTTTGGAGATTAAGGGTAAAGGTGTGGCTTTTGGGGGAGAGGATCAGAGATGAGCAGTAAGAAAAGCCAACCAACCTCACTGTTGGCTGCAGGAGAATGGAAAAACGCAGGAAGGTGGTGAATGTGGCAGTATGCAGGAGTTCCCATTGCTGAAGTTTAATCATTCCTTTGAGTTTTGGGTTCCTATGCAGTAAGTCTCAGGTAATGCTTTTAGTGCTTATTTAAACTGAAACTGCTTTCATTTGCAGGCATATGGGAAGATGAGTATTGGGTATAGAAATAAAAAAGAACCCACAACATAGCATTTATTTTACATTTGCAAGCTTGAATCTGCTTTGAATGCTGCTGGGGCAGGAGAGGAGAAGGGGAAGTGAGATTACCAAATAATGAAGCCTAATAAAGCCTGGCTTTAACTGTCTGCCCTTCTCAGGAGGGGAGGGAGGAAGAGGAGGGAAAAGTTGTTTATTGCAATTGAAATTTACTGCATATCCCAGTCCCTGTGTAACCTCCAAATTACTTACTTTTTAGCACAGTTTTAGTCCCTTCTGAACTATCTTTGCATGCTTTGTAAGAATCATACCAAGGCTTTAAATAACTGGCAGTTGTTCATTCAATGCAAGCTGTGGACTAAGGAAATAGGGGTGGGGGGGATAGAGGTTGCAAAATCTCTTCTCCTTTGGGTCTTTTCTCTGAAAAGTTGGAGAAGGTTTGTGTATGTGTATTCATTTGTGTAGCTAACCATGCAGACCCTGCTATCCTTTATTTTTTATTTTTGTGCCTCATTTTTATGACTGAGGTTTTTATGCTGGTATGAGAGATTTATTCATCCCTGTGTAATGAAACTTTGTACGTTCCATATGGCAGTGCTGCACCTAATATGAATTATATAGGACACGAGTCATCCATTTTCCTGCTAGGGTACTTTGATCAAACGTGACACTTGTTAAAAGAAGTGTCCACCGGTGAGGCACTTTGACTGTTTTCATGCCTGCCTTCCCCACTCCTTGTCCCTTAAATAAAGGAAATAAAGCCATTTTGCATCTTCAAAGTGCGCTTTGGTCTGTCCGTCTTTTTGTGTGTTCTTTTTTGTTTGTTTTGGTAGGAGGGACAGCAGTGTGATAAAGGAGGAAATCAAAGCCTTCCTAGCCAATCGGAGAATTTCCCAAGCAGTTGTTGCACAGGTAACAGGTAAGAGCTCGGGGAGTCCTTTCTTCATGTTGGTGAACTGTGTCTAACTGCCTATCTGTGCACAGTGCAGATGTTGGAATATTGCTTGGCTTTCTGCATTGCAGTGCAGATCTGTCAGCTTAGTCATGATAATGTATGCCTTTGATTTAAGACCCATTGTCCTGCACATCATGGCACTTCCCCAGTGAATCACTTTTTTTTTTTTTTTTTTTTTTTTGGCTTGTGCAAGCAGATTTTATTTTACAGCTTTATAATAAGCCTGAAGTTCTTATCTTAAAATGAAAATGGTTTTCCTTAATTCTTAAATTGTTTGTTGAGTGTGAGAAATAGATGTGTATCTGCATCTCTATGTATGGAGAGAGAGAGGGATATAATATGTATCTATATTATAGAATGTATATGAAAAGTCAGGAGACAGAGCTATAGCTGGTATCACTGCATCCAGGAGTCAGATTATGATAGTTTGAAGTTTTTCAGTCGCTTGCCTTCGAGTGACGATTAATGAAAAAATCAGATGTGAGGTTGAGAGGATGACCATATTTGCTCAGATTTCACCTAGAAGGAGAAGCAGTTCTCTGTTTCTCCTCTGCCCTGGACCTTCTCTCTCTCACATTCAGGCCAAGTGAACAGACTGCAGTGCTACCACCTCTTCCTTGGGTGTGTTTCCAGAGCTTTACGCAAAGAGTAACGAAGTCTTAACTGCTCCTCCATGGGGTGGGGTCGTGTTCTCCTAGGCTCACAGTGCTTGTTCGGAACAACATAGCTGGTAGCATATTTAGGATGAAAACTTGGTGATAAAATACAGATAGCTCAATCCCACGTTATGCCTATAACATTTATTCATTTTTAAGCCCAAGCTTGAATAAAGCTCTTGAAATAGATTGTTTTTAAGGTTCCTTGGTGACTAGGAATGCCAAACCAGCAGGAGGGAAGTTGTTCTTTTATGATATTTCCAGTATTTGAAATGTCATAAGAACCCATCTGTCTGGGAGATCTGGGTTTGCAGACATGCTAGCAGTTGAGGTAGGCAGGCAGAAACGGGCGTTTGAGCCATGGAGCCAGGATTTCCTTCCATGTCTCCAACTCTTCTCTGTGATCTTGGGAAAAATTACTTGTCCTTTCCTGGTTTCAATTTCATCTGTAAAATCATCAGATTAACACTTTGTATAATTCTAGGACTGTTATTAGCCTTATCAGATGTTAGCACTAGTACTTCAAAACTTAAACACTAAGTCTAGTTGCTTAAATTGTACCTGAACTCTGAGGTTTTGGCGTTGGTTTTGTCATTCCCCTACTTTTGTGGAGTCCTTGCCTGAATATAGTCCTGTAATAACCCATCTCTGAATTAAACTCTGTGTAACACCCTTTGTGCCTACCAGCAAGTCAAAGTAGTTTCCCCTTCAGAAGTAATGCAAAGAGGAAGAAGTTGCAGAAAAAGTCTTTCCAAAACAAGCCATCTTTTTATTTTTTTGTTAGTGGGACTACTGCATGCAGGGCCATTGAATCAGAATCACCACACCAAATCTAAGACAGAGTCTGTATCAGTAAAAGGAACTGATCTAATTATAATTAGCCAGGTGTCTCGGTGCATGTCTTAGTACCCCAGCAGGCAGACTGTAGCAGAGTCAAGACCAGTCTCTTCACACCTGATCACTTTGCTCCCTCCATCCTCAGCCTACTCTCCTGTATTTCAGTTGTTGAAGTCATTAAGTTGGCATTTAGCCTTTGGGGGCTTTCATGGTTTGCCACGTTATTCCTCCTGTGAGTAAACGACACCATCCACTTCATATGGTTGAGTAAGTTTCACACCCATCCCACTCAACCCTACTTTGTAACGCGGGGGCGGGGGGGTATCCAGAGTGATCAGAGAAAATACTACTAGATGTCTCTTTCTAGCCTGTCAGTGGGACCGTATGAAGACTGAACTAATGACAGACACTGTGATAATATCTTGTTTTCAAGTCAAATCAATGAGAAACCAGGTAGATCTAAAGGTTAAATGGCCACGTCCTTTTGCAGCTGACCCGACAGTGTTTCTGTGGACCTTTCAAATAAGAAAACAAAGTGGTATTTTACACACGATGCAGTTTCTCAAGCAGAGAGAGCTGCAGGGCTTGTGCTACGCTGTGACGCACCAGTCTCTTCCTCCCACTACCCTTTGCAGTTGAACTGTGTTATCCTCCATATGCTTGGTGGGAAGGTCTACGGGAGCCGATTCATTTTAAATATAGCCCATAGCCTTGTGTGAGCAGATGCGTAGTACTTATGTGCCACTATTAAGTACATAGTTATGGCTTATCAGAAAGAAATAGTAAATCTCAAAGAGATGTTTGAAGGGATCAGACTGAAGAGTGTGCATAGCACTACCAGGAGAAACATCAGCTTCCTTTCAAAAGCACAGTGCAGTGAAGAGTGACTGAAAATAGCTCGGGACAGAGACCCTGAGCAGAGAGCATGTGTCCCAGGGCTCTCACTTCAGAGTTGTCTTAGGCCTGATGAGTGCTGGTTGACTTGTGTATTCTTCAGATGTATCCAACATCCCGTCCCGTTCAGCTGTGAAACAGGCTCCCAAGGAAGGCCTGGAAACCACTTCTGGTTCATTAAAAACACAGTTTATATAGACAGAGGTCATGCTTTGCAGGATATATGAACCCAAATGGTATCATCTCAGTATTTACAGACTTAGTGGTAAAGCTGTTCTGTAAATCATTCAGTAAACAAGAGGAAAAATAGATAAATAAAATCCAAAGAGTGGTCCGTAGCAGATGGCGTAGGGGCGGACCATGAGAGTGAAACGATACCTTTTCAGAATACTGTTCAGCCTCCAGCGATCCATGTCTCAGGGCCCCCTTTATTATTTTGCACATCGAGGTACAACCCTGTTCCGGCCAACAAAGAGGCTGTGAAAGGGGGTAATTCTGCAAGAACGGATCAGCAGCCCACAGAGGCTGGTGTGCTTACAGCCTCCATCGCCGTTTGTTGTAATACAGACATTGCGAGCTGTTTCTGGAGGCTGCGCTGCAGATGTTGGGCATATTTGACTTGCCCAACCACTGGCTACCACCCTGCATCAGCTGGAAGTCGTTTGTTTAGAACTTGAAATAAATGCAGAATAGAGTGGCCTCGGCTTTCAGCATTCATCTCTTCTGCCCTGGGAAGGGAGGCAAGAAAGAAATGAAATGAAAAATTTATGGCTGGCTCTGTCCAGAAGGAGAGTTGTTTGGCTTGGCTACCCATGCTGTCAACTTTCTCCTTTCAATCTCTACCAATGTATTTGCTACTCTAAAAAATTGTGTGTGTAACAGGAGGGAAGAATGGCATGGAGAGGGGAAAGTGTATCTGAACAGACCTTTAGCTAGGTACCTAAAACTTTGCTCCCTTTTCTTAATTATGGCTGGCTTTGAAGTTGGCCAAACTGGACATACAAGCAATGAACTTTAGCTAAACCAATGTATTTGCATGTCTTCAAATTGCAGGTCTTGGACTAGCTCATCAGAGAGCGTCATGTTTCCCCATATTTGTCCCCATTCTGTACCTTGTCGTGTTCTGTCTTTGGTGCAGGAACCTCTATTGCAACTTCTGCTCCTTGAAACTTCCATTTTTACCTTATTTCGCTAATTCTTCAAGCTGCTTAGGGTTTCATTCTGAAATACCTTCGTCCTTTTTCTCATCTTAATTCTAATACTGCAATGCACTTACAGAATACACATTTCTACATCAGCCAGGATCCTGCAAAGCACACTGAGCAGCCTTGTATCTACAGACTCTGCAACAGTAAATGGCTTTTCCTTTTGTCTTTCCTATGCTGCAGCACAAGGGGATGGGACATGATGGAGAGGAACATGGAGCTGAAGGTTAAAGTCAGCTGTTGCAGTAGAACAATTTTTAGGCTCTCTTAGTCTTTAGAAAATTACCAGAAACTTTAAAAGTCATTTAGATAATGAATCTGACAGGGAAAATTAAACCTGGAAGACATTCTACGGGGCTGCCTTGTGTACTGAGAGAAGAGGGCAGACTGGAAAATAGTAAGAGAGTATTAAACAGTGACTTGAAAATAAAGGAATGATTGATAAGAAGCAAAAACCTAGCATAACACTTATTAGTGCTGGTCCTAAATACAGGAGCTGCTTTTTATAGAAACTTTTTTAATGGTGTCTGTAATAAGATAAACAAGAAGCACTTGGGTTGGGCTCTGTATAAATAATCTCCTACTGATAAGAAAAATGACAGTATAAACAGGAGCTAATAATAGTTCCTGCTGAATTTCCTATCTTGTTATTTGAAGCTCCTTTTAACATAGCTGCAGCTTACTCGAGGGTAGGTATTTAGCCCTACATGTGGCAGGTGGAATGCCAAATTTTTATCAACAGTAATTTGAAGTCATGTGCTGCAATTTGCTTTAATTGCCACCCGAATTGTATCTGAGTACCAAGTAAGTTATGGTCAGAAGGCAAAGGATGAAGAGAGAAATGCCAGCTTATGAAGAGATGCTCTCTCTTAGCTTCCAAATCTAGATGGAGGGCAGGGGAAGTGTTTTCAGAAACAAATGTCTGTCTTATGTACTACAGTAAAGGAGAGAGGGAGGAGTGTACATGGGCTGAATGCTTTGATTGATGATGCCTCTGCGAGGTTTGGAAATATTACCTGTTCCATTTTTTACACATAGGGAGGGAAGGAACAAAACCCCCGTACTTTCCTGAGGTCACAGTGGAAGCAGTCAGGGGCACAGCAGGACTTTGAATTCAGATTTCTCAGCTAGAACCATAAAAGCTAACCCACCATTTTTTAAAAAAAAAAAGGCAACAACAATAAAATGCAGAGGTCATTTTTTTAAAAAAATACATAAAAAATAGAGCTTTCCAGTGTGCAGTTCTGCTAACCTTCCCAATTATTCTGTTTGTACAATTCAGCCTTGTCCTACTCTCTCGGTCTTAATTGATAGGAGATCTTCAGGACTTAGTTTATATTATGCTGAACACACACAGCATCTGGCACGGTGGAGGGCAGCCATGAAGCCCTGCTGTAACATAAATAAAATCCCTTAAGTTTTCAAACCTACACGCAGGGATGCTGAGCAAATGCAAAGTGAAACTTAACTATTTCCATTGTGAAGAGAATTCAGAAAGTTACTGGATTACTGATTGTCTGAAATGGTGAGAAACTAGATTTTGAAAAACATCTTCCTTTTTTTTTTTAATACTCATGACAACACAGGGAAAGATTTGTTTTTCTGTGATTTTGATCTTTGCAGGTTTTCTGTAAACAAGCTTTGCTAATCTCCTAAATTGATAGATGTCCTTTGCAAGCACGTATTATATGAATCTAGGACTTTGCTTACAAACTGAAGAATTAAAACACAGTCAGTTACTTTCTTCTCCAAATCTGACGTATTCCAGGTGCTTCTAAAAATCTCTCCTGAAAGAAACATTAAAGAAATGCAAAGTAGAGTCACTGAACAAAGCTATCTGTGAAGGTGAAAACCAGTTACCGAAGACTTGATGAATAGCAGTTTTGAGGGTTCTGAGCAGATTTGTACTGCAGATACCAGTTGCCTTCTCTTATGATGCATTTTGTCATTTCTTTTATGTATTTGAAGGGGAAAATTTTCCCCAAATAATTTATGTAGGAGAGAGTGGAGCTGGCCAGAAGAGCATGAATGCATTGTCATCTCCATATGGTTACAATTATGAATTGTAACCTGCTATGGGGAGGAGTGACGTGTGACACAAGAAGTCAACATTTGAATTGCTGTAATCCTTTGTGATTTCTTTCTTCAGTATTTTCTGTTCGAAAACTAGTTGTGCTCATTACGATGTGTTCATGTCCCTGTTGATGCTGAGCCCAGAGGATGGCAGTCTTCCTTGAGGTCCATGATTCAGTTTGTGAGTGAATTTCCTCAAGACAGCTGGATTTTCAGTACTCTGGAGAACTTATTTCATTAATCTGTTTCTGGCAGCAGGATGATTTCTTTTTTCCTGCCAGTGCAATTTCCTAAAGTAGTGTGATTACAGACAATGTGACAGGATGGTACTGGTGGTGGTACTAGTCATTGTCCCTATGAGTCAACTGTATAAACCCCACTTGAGATGCAAGAAACTCTGATGTGACAATTTGGGGTTTTTTTTAATTGAAAGGAGTGAAGGATGGGTTTGTGATTAAGACACTGTGCTGGGATCTAGGAGATCTTGGATCAGTTCTGCTGCTGCTGACTTTGCCTGTGACCTTGAATCGGTCAGGCTGTTGGCATATACAGGTTTGGAGCCTCTAAATGCAGTTGATATGCAGATGAAAGCTATTTTATATCCTAAAAACAAAAAGAGGAGGAGAGGTATAGATAGAGGAAACCTTTAAGAAGCTCAGTTCTTACCACAGATCTCAGAAACAAGGAGAGAAGGTAATGAAAAGCAGAAAAGAATGATAGGAAATGGGACATAAAGGGTCTTCTAGAGGTCATCTGCTATATTCCTTTGGCCAAAAGCAAGATCAGCTGCCTGAGCCACACCTGCCACGTTAGCTGGGTTGCTATACAACTTTGCTGGCTAAAGAGCAGAATGGGCTGTGGGCTTTTTGCTAATGCAAAAAATGTTATGGACTGCAGTGCTGTTCATGAGATACCGTAGTCAAATGATAATGTGCTGAGAATTTATAGTGTGTTCGTTGAATCTGTACATCTCTGTGTCCTTTACAAAGCTCCGTTTTGCAGAAGCGACTTTATAAACTGTGGGGACTTGCAATGAGTCAAATGTGGACATGGCAATACACAGCTTGAATCTTTTGGCTCCTGCCTCTCTGCTTTGTCTCAAGCACATTGTCTGAAGTGGCTAACATCTGTACCACTTCACGGCAGTGTCAGGCAGCCTCTTGAGCAGAATTTGGATTTTCCACTATGCGACTCTTGTTGAAGATACTTAATCTCTGTTTATAATTTTTATCAAATAATGCTTTGCATTTATATCTTACGTCGTTATCCAAACACTCAACAAACACTAATTCACTGCAATAAGTGTAAGTGGACTGTAGTAAACAAGTAAATTAATGGTGCTGTTACCCATTGATTAATAGGAGCCATGCAGCCAAAAGCAGTGACACACAAACGTTTGTGTCCCACAGCACTGTGTTAAAGAAATCGCTTTTATACATCGTAATAGTAGATTGGAAGCTGCAAATTTTCAAAACTTGGTCTTTTCATTGACAGTCAGGCATCTAGATTGCATGATTTCAATTGGACTGAAGCCTTGTTTTGGGCTGGAGAGTTTTCTCAACTTACATTGACTTCTTTTAGTATTAGCTTGTGTGCTTCCACAGTTCCTTGATTTAAATTGGCAGAATCCACTAAGGTTTGCGTTTTAGTTGAATAATTCCACTTCCTTAGTAGCATAAACGCAATTATATATTCCAGTATGGGTCCTGGGGATAGTTAACTCCTGACTGTCCTGGCTGTTTTGGAACTCTTCCAGTTGTGGGGCAAAGGCAGTCTCTGGGAACGGGCTTTAAGAAAGAAGATCAATAGATGTATGGGAAACAAAACCAAAGCAGGGTATGTTTTATGGGCAGAGCTCTGTTGAATAGCAGTAAGCTTCTGTACTCAAAACACACCTATCCCTTTGCCCCAGGACAGTTAAAACTTCCTAGGCTCTGGGATTCTTTATAAGGAAGAACAGTTATGAGCATAAACGCCATGATTTTAAAAATCTAGTTGGAGTAAATCCTCCTGAATATGATTCCTGAGAGTAGTATTTAATCATTCTAAAGTTAACTAGCTTCAGTGTTCAGTGTAAAAAAAAAAAAAAAAAAAAAACAAAGAAAACCCCCCCGAAAAAAAACTTGCTACAGCCACCTCAACATTTCCCCTTCCAAAGCATAGTAAACCCCCCCGTATAGAAACAGTAAAACTACAGGGGGTTGTTTTTCATGAGTTCAATATGACTATGAGATCTTATACAACCTTGATGCATCTCAGGAGGGGAGATGTAGTTGGGTTTCCCTGTGAAAACCAGCCTCCTACTTGCCTCAGTAGTAGCACCAAGCAGGTGGTGGCACAGGTGGTGTTCGGCAGTATATTGTTACTTTGGAGCACCTCCTAAACTTTAGTTCTCAGGAGAGTTTAGATGTTGTTAACCCCTTTTGATAGCTGAAGAGCCTTGTGGAGAGCACAGGGAGTCCTCCTACCTGAAATGCTGCTTCAGTTATTCAGCAAACTATATAGTTTTGTATTTTTAAATGAACCTGCAGTTTATCTCATAGTGCACTTTCAAATCTCTTGCTTTATTTGGTTCCTTTCCTTATATGACTTCTTTTCCCTCTCTGCATTGATCCTTCATTCAGTGTCATGCTTTGCAAAGAACTGTGTTAAATTCTAGGGCTTTTTTCCCCTTTTTACTGTTTTCTTAGAAGTCTTGCTTTAAAAACTCTGGAAGCTTTTGTCCCTAATCTTGCCTGTAGATACCTGGAGCTTGGATCCTTCTTTGCTGACAGACAGCTGTCCTTTCTGTTTTGTTTCTTGCTGGTTTAGCTGCTGATAGTTGGCTTGCTCCATTTCTGGGCTGATTTGATCTATATCACATAAACTGTTTCTGTGTTTATCTCCCTTCTTACTCCAGCATTGAATGATAATGATCTCCTAACTATCATTATTTATATATAATAGTGGGTGAAGGACTTGTTCCCATTTCACAAAGAAATTTAAGAGCCAGGGAAGTTGTGGACAGTTCAAGTCAGTAGTAGATTTGGCTTCCCAGTTTGTGTCCTATTTGCTTGTAGATTGATTATGCCGATCCCAGGATGGACCTTGAGTAAGGTTGAAAATAACAACCAGGAGAAGTTAAAGAAGTTAGTGATGGGGATGAAGCTTGAACTCCACTTTTTCTGTGATCGAAACATTATGAGTTCCTGGGCTTTCTAAGACAACACCTTTTATCAGTATATAAACCACTTTAAAATGTTTTGAAAAGAACAAGTTTTCTCTTCCTCTTTCTCTTTCTCTTTTTTTTTTTTTTTTTTGGTTTTGTTTCCGTTTTTTACAGGTATCAGTCAGAGCCGGATCTCCCATTGGCTGTTGCAGCAGGGGTCGGACCTGAGTGAACAAAAGAAAAGGGCATTTTACAGATGGTACCAGCTTGAGAAGACAAATCCTGGTAAACAAATACAGCCTAAACATCTCCTGCTATTTTATTTATGGAAAAGAAGCCTTTTGTCACTGTTTTTTATTATCAATGATCATTCCCTTCATGGTCTGATGTACTGTAGAGGTATTCCCTCTGACCAGTTTACTTTTTAGGAGGGTAGGAACAAATCTGCGCATTGCTTTGCAGCAAATGGTCCAGAGCCGACTCATCCATAGCTGCGTGTCTACCTCCTCGGTCATGGTAACTTGTCCTGTCCTCTCACCACTAGCTAACTCTGGGGATGAGAAGCAGGCTGTGAAGTTGTAGTCAGCTAACGTGAAATATATGCTGAGGCTTTTCAGAATGAACAAATAAAAAAAACATTAATAATGGCTGCATAATATAAAGTTGCAGCAAAAAAACCCCCATGGTTTGGCAGAGAGGAACTTTGGGATAACTTCAGAGGGTTTTGGGTTGGATCTCAAGCTCATGGATGGGATGTTGATAGTTACAGCAATAAGTTGGAGATGTGTCAAATCCCACCTGTTTCTCCAAATCTCAAAATAGATCTTAAATATAAAAAGAGAAATAAAGCTCCTTATTATCTTTAACCAGCAATCTTCAAATTCACAGTTGAATTAATTTCCTTGCATTGTTCTTCTCCGCAGATTTTGTTTGACCGCAATTCTTATTTTTCCCTTTAGTGGTTTTATTGTAAAGATCAAAATATTTATGTTTAATTTCCTTTAAACAATAGCATGATTAAATTAACTGTGTAATTGTTTTAAGAAATTTAAGACAGGCTCTCTAATGTGAACTTGGCTTCAATATCCAGAATTCTATTAAGAAAAATTCCAATGAAAACAGATCCTCAAAACTTCTGCTTTGTGTGTAAGCTGAAAATCAAGAGGCTCCAGCTGTCAGTTGGCCTGAGAATACTTTAGCTTAAAGTTGGGTGGGTTCAAAGTGACGGCTGAGCCTGTCCTTTCTGTGAAGCATCTAGAAAATTGTTGTAAAGAATGAAAGCGCCCTTGGTTGTGAGGCAAGCTGCAGGGATCACCAGCAAGCCTTGATTTTTGCAGGGACTGGAATTGTGATACTAAGGATCAGCAAAGTTGCTGGATACAACGGTTCAGTGTCAGCTGCTTTGAAAGCCTCACATGTTGTACTCTGCAGAGTAACTCTTGGCCATTTCCCTTTGAAAATAAAACCCAAAAGTCCTCTCCTACTGATGAAAACTCTGTGGATCTTTTATAGTCTTGCATCTTTTCTTGGCAATATTGTTTGGAGCTGTTTGAGAAATAGTATTCGGTGCTAGGATAAGAGAAACGTTGTCAAACTTAGCACTAAAATCTTTACTACTTCCTTTTATCCTTCTTTTTTTCCCCAAATCCACAAGTTCACATGTTGTTTGTCTTTTCGCTCTTGAGAAGTGTCTAAGGAAGACTTGCAGCGCTGAAGGTTATGGCTTAAATTGAAGTGAATCCACGTTAACCTCTACTTTTCTGATGCACTGTCTTGCTGAGGTCTTGTTCACTTTTCTATATAGGCACATTGAAAAAATTCCTGAAGAATGGTTATTTCTGTAACTGTTTTTCAAATAAGAGATGTTACACAGCATTTTCAAGAAGAGGCAAAATGGGTGCTCTGCCAATGCCGAGGGGCTATGTGGATGCGCTTAAATTCCCTTTAGAACCAAATGACATTTGATTTCTTTTTAGAGACTGAGGTAAAGAGGGCAAATTCTCAGTTTTCCTGTAGCTGTTGGAAAAGTCTACTTGAGGAAAATGTGGTTGTATTTATTTATTTTCTGTAGGACAATCCACAGCTTTGAATTCTTGCCATCAGTCTGGCTAGCCAAGAGATAATTAACATGCATACGTGCAAGTGTATCCGGTGTATCAAGGAGGATACCAACCTTGTCTAAAGAATCTTGGATTGAAATTACTGTTACAAGACCAATTTGGAGCCTAAGTTTTGGATACTACTTACAGTATCCTCTGATTAGTAGACTAGACTAGGCATTCTGCTGCCTTCTTTTGAGTCAGAAAATGAGGAGATCAGTTGAGCCTCCTGCCACGTTCACAAAGAAGCGATACCATCACTGCGCTCCCCGTGGAGTGATAGAGGTTGTCCTCCTTTGAAAAAACTTAAGAGATTAAGTGCCTGGCACGTGTTTTTTTCTATTCGCTCACTTACTAGGAAGTGACATTTGACTTTCTATTCTCATGTATCCCATCTTTTCCAATTCCAACTGCTGGGAATAAAATCTCAATCCTTCTCCTTTGGGTGATAGAGTCAGGTCTCTCTGTGCAAGTGACATTGGACTTTCTATTCTCACGTATCCCATCTTTGCAATTCCAACTGCTGGGAATAAAATCTCAATCCTTCTCCTTTGGGTGATAGAGTCAGGTCTCTCTGTGCAGAACCATCTACACGTTTGAGTTACCAATGGGCAAAGTGAGGTCTTCAGGAACTTTTAGTTCCCTCATTTCTTTAATTCCTTATTTTGGAAAACTGGATCTTCAGAGTAAGTCCATTTTCTGACGGAATTTGTTTGTGTAGTAATGGAGAGAAAACTTTCGCTTAAAATTGAAACGGTTTTGGAGGACTAGGGCACCAGATATAATCAATTTATGAACTGTAAGGAAAGAATAGTTGTTTTGTGATGAAAGGACTGGAGATCCCTTGGCAGACCTGTAGTCTTTCTTTGGCTCTGCCAGTTTTTCAGTACAACTCTTAGCAAATGATTTCACCCTTGCACCTCACTTTCCTGTCTCCTGGATAAAGATGAGACTGTTTCCTGTGCCTGCCTTGCCTGTAAGGTCCTCTTTTACTATGCTTATATACTGCAGCCAGCCAGGAGTTTCTAATAATCCAGGGGACAAAAGATGACTTATAAATACATCAAAAGAGATTTTATTTTTCTTTTTTTCAAAACTATAATGGTGATATATAACACTTTAAATCATCCACAAGCAGTCCTGCATCTGCTAACCAAAGAACTTGGTGTTTGTGGAGCCTTAGGGCAATTTTGAGATGGTACTGCTGTTGAGATGTTGCCAGATGTTGCTCTTATACAGAAGGGACTCAGCAATTCCATCACATTCATTATTTGCCAGCTTGCTTTGACCTCTTTGAATATGCTGCTTGTTATTTCCTTGGTTTCGATTGCTGGTTTACACGGGCAATTTCTGTATTTCTCCTGTCTTTGGTGGTGGGTGTTCACACAACAGCGGACTGGAAACATTGCAAAAGAGACCTAAGTCTTGTGGATCAGAAAAAAACCCTACTTTTCCTACTGTATGCAATAATCTTGCTCAAAAATTTCTTGATCAATGTTTTCCTGGTAGGAGTGATGTCAGAGTTAATAGCAATGCTGTGAATTCCAGTGTACTAATGATTATAAATTTTTCTGGAAACAGTTGCCAATTAGGGTGAAAGGCAGTTTTATATTGGAGGAGAAGTTCAGTGCTAAATGCTAGTGTTTGAAAGGTCTTTAATCCGATTAATAGAGATGCTTTTCATTTAGATTGGGCTTTTTTTGGACAGGCACCGCATCTCTTGTGTTTTGTAGAGGACTGAGAGCATTTTGGCAGTAGAGAAATAGTATATGTTTCAGAAGCCAGTATATGAGTGTATAGAGTCCTATAATGTACTGATTATTTTATTTTCGGAGCCCACAGGTTTAAAATAAATAAATATTTCCTTTTACATTGCTAGTTGTTAGCCTGATCAGTTTGGCTGGCACTGGGTCTTGGGCAACATGGAAAGTTCGTTACGGAGTAACCTGAGCATGTCTTTTGCTTCTGTGTACTGCAAACTGAAGCTGGCACCTAAAAATGATGTCTTGAAGTTACAGATGGATACAGACTGCTTCCATTTATGCTGGATATTTATTGCTGCCAGTCTTCTGTAATAGGAAGGCAGCTGTGGTCACCTTGGAGAAAACCATGTGCTCTTCCTCCTTGAACAAAAGGGAAGAAGAAAGGTAGTTATTATCAAGATGTAGCATCTCTTGTGTTATTCCCATAGCAGTTCTTGTTTAGCTATAAAAGAAAAGCCTACCAAAAAAGAAAAAAAAAAACAAAAAAGAAAAATCAGGGGCTGGATATCCCACGAGATTTGCCCTGGAAACGTATTGTTGGTGATTTACTATTTTACAGAGCTGCTGAGAAAATAGTCCCTGCTCTGATCCGTCTAAGCAATGAGCTCTGTAGGGAACCTTTTGCTGTGCAGGCTGCTGATTCAAATCTAGCCTGGCTCAGTAGTAACTGAAAGGTGTTTATCATGTGATCGCAGGTCAGTCTGGCTAAAAATAAAGTGTGACATCTGTTCTTATCAGTATAATACATGATAGGTACTTGCTGCAAAGGCTTGCTACTAAATGGGGTTTTGGAGCAGGAAGATGACCTGAGGCTTGCTCCAGCCATTCTGCGCATCGCCCCTGTATGGCAGGGCCTCTCTGAGCTATGTGATGTGGATCAGCAATTGCACGTGACGCTTTTAAAAGCAACGTTCTTTCTTCAGGCTAGTGTCTGGAATGTGCTGAGAGTAGGGCAGGTCTTTGCCATGAGGAATTTTGAGTACAGAGAGTGAGCTTGCATTCCAGTTGGAGAGCACCACTCTTGCCTCCTCTCCCCAAAACCCACCTGCAGCATCCCCAAAGTCATACCCCGCATTTGAGAAAATGCTGGCTCGCGCAAAGAAAAATCTGTATCGCTGAAAAGGTACTCAGCGCTGGCAGGTGGTGAGAGATGTCGCTTTTCATTTTTCTCTGCAAAAGGAGTTCTTCCCAGACGGTTCACCTCTATACCCCTTAGAGATGTCTTGCTTTTTGATGCATATACGAAGATGAAAATCTCTCATACTGCATTCGCTCCGCTCATTCTGCTCAAGAGAGAAGTTTCACTTCTTAAAAGCTGTTTGAGGAGTTTGTAAAAAGAATCTGACCTAGTAACTAGGATGTAACTTATTAAGTTGTAAAGAAGTGGAGCTGGGTGGCGAGAAGATTGCAATGAAGTGTTGGAACAGCAGAATAAACAGGATCCCCAAGTGCTCACTTAATTGAGGGGGATGAAGAAAAGCTCCGTAGTTACCTTATCAAATGTGGCAGCAGTGCATATATCCACTGCTTTCGCCGCTCACAGATAGAGCCAAATGCATTTTATGCTTCTGTATGCATTCAGATGCTTCTGTCTTTATGTGTGTGCAAAACCAGCGGTGGGTACTTGCTTGTAGTTCTCAGCATAGTTCTCTCTTATCTGCTGCTGATATTGCTGTTACCCCATAAAAACGAGAAAGAGGTAAATTGATCTAGCAAGGCTACTAAAACAATAAAAAAAAGCGTCTTATATTCAGTAAGTGAACATATCAGTAATAGGAGCAAATTTATGCTTTAAATGCAGATTTTTTTTCAACCTTTGTCTGAAAAATTTCGAGTATATTTAATGGAAGTACTCTGCGTCTCTTACCTTGATGTTAGGCATCACTGATATTCCTATATTTTCCCTGTGAAGTGAAATCCTCGGGTAGGGAAAGTATATTGCTGAGACAATTAGCAGGGAATTTCTTGTCCTGTTGTCCCCTGCCTCTTTTATAAAATTTTTTTTTTTAAAAGTTTTTTAGGTTTTGAAGTATATGTAAAACCTACCAACTTGATACTGACCCAGACCCCTAAACTGTGCAAGGACTAGAAGGAGTAGGTAAGGAACGTCCCTTTGAAATGGCCTCCTGATAAATTGGCAATATAGGAAATACTTCGTGTGTCAGTAAAACTATGTCTATGTAGTTGTAGTTGTAGTCTATGTAAAACTAAAAGTCTATCTAAAACTAAAGTCTATGTAGGCTCGTGAGCTGGGAATTAGTAAAGAGTTCCTGTCCGTTGTGCATGCAAGGCAGAGATTGCGGGCTTCGCTTCCTATAGACTTCTCCTGGGTAAAATTTTAAAATTATTTTGGGCTCCGCTGCCTAACACAGATGCAAGCCCCTGGCAGTAAGGAAAAGACTCATTGTGCATTTCTGGAAAGGAACACGTCCAAGTGCATAAATAGCTAATTTCTTGCTTTTTATCTGTAGGAATTTGTTTCTTGGTTAAACTCTAAATTCCCTTAACCCTTTTACTCTGTTTTAAATGAAATAAGCAGTGTTGTTTCACTAACACAGTATGTTTTTAAGATTAAATCCTAACCATTCTGAGCAAGCTTGTGTACCCAGAGGGATTTGCTGTCTCAGCCTTGCTTTTACGTGGGCACAATACTGTATTCCTCCTGTGAGCAGAGCTGCCTGCTTCTCTTGGATCTATCCAGGCTGGTTCAGTGCATGAATTCCGGTTGAGCTCAGTATGCATATGGGATATAGGTGGTGATTCATCTCTTCATACGACTGAGCTTTTTTATTTTTTTGCACGCAAGAGGAGCTATTTTTTCCCTCCAGGGGAAGTCACTGAGCACAAAGCTGTCCTTCAGAACATACCCTGTTTTACGTACTAATGTCCTATACCAGGTTCCCATCTTCACCAAGGGATATGGGTAAGATCGGTCTCCCAGTGTGTCTTGATTTATCTTGATTTATTAACTGAGAGGCTGTTGTGGAAAGAATCAGGGGTAAGTTTCAAAGGGCCTTTCCTGAAGACGTTTTGCCAAGTCCTGTCTCTTGCTTGATGCTTTCCAGCTCAGGCTTCTTGAAAGGAGAAATATATCCATAGAAGGTGGACAGAAGAGGAAAGGTGTGGTGTTAATCTGCTTTCAGTGACTTTTTCAGACAACCCGGCACTCAGGAGCCCGTGTTTGCAGGTCACAGGGTGTGTTTCTATCGGTGGAGCTATTTCAAATGTTTACTCAGCTCTTTGGACATGTCAAAGCACCTTTGGTATAAATTTACATTTTGCTTCCTGAGACTGCTGTACAATTAAATAGAAACCTGCCATTTCCCGTTTTGAGGCAGAAGAGGTAGCAGGGCAACCTAAATAAATCCCAGCTGGGGCATAGCTCACCCTTTCTGTAAGATGTTTTTCCTCTTGATGAAGACAGGACTATTTTTCCTAAGTGGTTATCAGCTCAGTTATATCTCCCTTAGATTTCCATGGTCGCCTGATACCTCTCTGGCTCAGAGGTTGGGGATGGGAATGAGCTGGCTTTGTGTATCTCTAAGGTGTCTTTGTTTCATAATGCTTTACTTTTTTTAGTTTTAATGGTTTCATCATCTGTCTTGTCTTTTTTTCATGAGCAGGAGTGAGAAAATGGGCATGATTTTTAATCCACTAGGAAACACAGTATTTATTATTCTTAGGGGCTACGTTAAGCATGAGACCCGCTCCTATCCCAATAGAAGAGCCAGAATGGAGACAGACGCCTCCCCCAGTCACAGCTACCTCTGGGACCTTCAGACTACGGCGAGGCAGTCGGTTCACATGGAGAAAGGAGTGCCTGGCTGTTATGGAAAGGTATGTCACTTTGGGGTTACGGAGATGGGCATTTTAAAGCCAGTACAAGTATCCTTTTTCCTGCTCTGCTGAACACTAGCTTCGTTTTCATGGATGTGTTTTAGCATCACGCAAGCTAATAACAGTGTAATCATTTGATTCTAGGCAATAGAGTAGGAGGAGCTATTTCACCCCTTCTGTTTGAAAAAATGTTATACCGCTTTGAACAATTTCTCATTTTTTGTAGCCCCTAAGACATCTTGCCCTTGACTCAGGCTGAGAGTGTTCAGCTCTTCCTTTGCTTTTGCAGAAACCTTTCCCTCTAGCCTAATCCAGGCTCTGTCTTGGTGGAGGTCTGCACACTCTTTATGTTCTACATTTCTCCTTTCCCAATTTATTGATTTGTCCTCATAACGTATCATGTTATTTTATAGTTGATACTGGCATTTTGGCAGCACTGTAATTGTTCAGGATGCAGAACTTTGCCTAACAGGCAGTAGATTCCTTGTCCAAAAAGGCTCTTACAAGCCTTCTACATGAGCTAGGAACAGTACAGAGCAAAGTGGATCTTTCAAATACATATGCAGAGTGGCGGGTGATCATTAGAGCTCCCAGCTCTTCAGTCCTGCAGAGACGAAGCACTCTCTGAGCCTGGTCTCCTGGCTGCCTGTGTGCTTTGCCTTTCCCTCTGCTTACAGTAATGTCTCTTTTGTGGCTTGTATCATGTAATAGAAAGGGGCTAGTGAACTCAAACATAGTTTAGGGATGAATGCTTATTTCTGTTAAGGGCTAAATGGCTGGGAGGAGTTCTTTTCCCTCCGAGAGCAAGAGGAACCTCCTTCCATGAAAGCACCAGATGACTCTCTGTGCGTGCTGTGCTCCTCTCTGGGTTGCAACTCCATTGAGTCTTTGGCCAGCGGATTTCTGGGATGTACTTTTGCCCCTTCTGTAATGCTTCTCTTTCCTCTTTCTTGCACTGATTCGCAGCAGGGGAGTGTCTCATTTTGCCTAAGCTAAGACCAAAACACTGAGCTCCCTCAGGGACCCAAGCGTTTTTGCACTGAAGATGGGCATGCTTCTGTGTGGCCACAGGCCATCGAAGGTCTTGGCAGGGCTGAGACCAGTAACTGAGTGTTTGTTCTCATATTCTGTCCTACCACTGCACTGTCGTCTTCAGGTTTGGTGAGCCTTTCTCCAAAGGAAATAATGTAAATGTTTGAAATCTGTTCTGCTTTGCTAGACCCAACTAATGCAAGTCCCGAAATCTGATAGTACAAGAGACTGTGTTTTTTCTAGTGCCTGCCTGCACAGAGGCAGTAAAATGTGCCGTATAGGTTCTTTAGCACTTTAAAATGCTTGTATGACTGTCCTGATTGCAGTATGTAGAATGACAAAAATGCTACAGCTCAGTGTACCTTCAGGACATTACCATCTCCTTATTAACCCTCTGTGTGTGAAATAGTTGCTCTGAAGGAGAAGTAGAGCTCTTTGGGCATGGGTGTTTTCCTTCTGGCTTTTTGTCAGTGTGATAACTGCTATTATTTCCTGTTTGAATCGTGATAGTGCCTTAGACTCCTTTGTGCTGGGTGCTGTGGAAACACAGAGCAGGAGAAAGCTAAGCAACCAAGCACTACCCTTTCCTCCTTCAGATCTCTCCCAAAGCCAGTCTCTGCTGTGACACTCTCAAGAAGTCCAGACAACCTGTAATGGTTTGGTATGTGTCTATTAGAAAGACGTGAGATTTGGTTCTGTATATGGAAAGAAGCAAGTCGGTGTTGATGTTGGAAATCATCCAGTTGTGTATGCAGCTACATAATCACTTGATCTAATTTCTCATTACTCCCTTTCTTCTTCTTTGTCATTCTTGGGTTTGTTTGCTGTGTCTTGTCTCGTGCTCTGTAAGGTCTTTGCTGCTGGGGCTTTCTTCTATTCTGCTGGTAAATGGAGACTTCTGCCACATTGCCTTAATCCTGGCTTTAATATTAATTTGCCAACCTCTTGCTGGGTCACCGCAAGCACTGAATTTCGCAGCCTTGTGTGTGGGTACTGGAAAGTATCGCTGAGGAGTTTTACTTGAGGCAAGAACACAGTAAACTCGAGCTGTGGTAAAAGCTTTGTATGACAATAAAATCACACTGTAAAGCAAGTTGGGAATATGGTTGTTTAACTGTGATACTTTAATAGGCCTAGTTGAGCTGTAAGGATGAGCTGTTTTATGTGACAAGTTTTGAAAGAGTGGGAGAAAAACACTCTCTAGGGAGCCCTAGGAAGGAGCTGACTAATTTCACTTACAAGTCACCGGAGTCTTCCAGGCTTGTCTGTAATACGACTCGTAACGGCGGCCAGGATGAAGGCAACCAGACTCCTGGCTGTCTGGCCCAAGCAGATCAGGTTCACTTGATGCTGTAGGGTCAGGAATAAGCATTTGGCCCGCTAAAATGGGGTTTGGCCTTGCATGTGGTCTGGTGCCGTTTATCTGGTAATTTGCATTTTCCTCTGAAGGATTAAGTTTTGACCGGGAACAGAGGCATCTTACTCAGTTGAATGGATTATTTTCCTTAATGAAATGCGAGTTTCATTGCATTGTGTTTGCGTGCCCTGCAACATCTTGATGTGCCGTTGGTGCATGCAGGGGATTTAGGCACCTACTTTTGAGCTTCTTATTTGGGAACCTCAGTAAAGTGCTTGTTCACCTAGGCTTCTAGCTATTCAGCAATGAGAAATAGAGATCTAGAAGACAATTCCATCCCACTTATGCAACTCATATGAGGGCTATATGTGTCTTCCTCTCTGGCTACAACAGAGGAGCCTTCTGCAATTAGACCTAACTTTGGTGAATTAGTTAAATGCCTGAAGATAAGAGGACTGAATCTAGACCTTAATGGAAACTCTCGCGTACGTAATGCAGAACTACTTCTTCCTATAAACTTCTGAAACGTTGCTGCAAAGCTGTATAAACATGTTTGGTTTTTTTTTTGTGAGAATCAAAGTCTTGGGCTGCTCTATTAGTTAATTGTGGTACGTGCTTTTGACTTGGATTCAGCTGGTGAGAAATGCAGTCGCTGAAAGTCGATGTGTCAAACCAGCTGAGAGCACTTCAAGGAAAGAATCTGACTTTGATTGCAAAAATTAGAGAGATTTGCTTCTAGGAGCAGGCTTTCCAGCTGAAAATGCTCAGCACCGGTCAGGATTTGGCCCATGAAGTGAATGAGATGGGTGAAGGTTGAAGGACTAGTTTCTCTTTTTTAAAAGATGTAAATCAACAAAAATTCCAGTGCAATTAATTATTATATTGGTGCCAACCTGATGTAATTAAGATTAGAGTTAGGACCAGCACATATACTTAAATGTCTAATGCACATAAGTGTCTGTATACAGGGTATGCGTATTAAAGAAACTAATTGGTTTATACTGGATTTCCAGAATGCTGCTTGCGGTTTCTGTAATTCAATTCTCCAGTCTTTACTGCTTTTTTGGAAATTCTCCCAGGATAGTTTATTAGTCGCTAGGCTTAGATTTCGGACAATAGATTCAGGACTCTCTCCCTCTCTCCTTTCTGGTTTTTGGTTTGTTTTTTTTTTATATATATATCTCCGAATATTTATGCTCTGAAGGTTAAGAGGAGCAATAGTTCCAGAAAGTAAAGTTCTATATTTAACTGCAGACTAGGTGTGGTTCAGACAACTGCAGTGCAAGCTCCCTCTCGCTGCTGTGCTAGTGATATCAACCTTGACCTGTTCTCTTCTTCAGCCTCCTGCTCATGAAATATGCTGAGTTTTGTGTGTGGTGATGTTGTCGTGTGGCTTGCCCTCCTTTGGGAACAGAGCTAAGACTACAGTAGTCCTTTCTGTGAAAACCTGAGGTTAAACTTGAAAGTCTGTTTCTGGTTCTGTTTCATGGTGTTCTTCGTTACGTCTTGTCCCAAAGATAATCTTTTTTTCTTTTCTCTGCTTTACTACTTCTTTTCAACCCCTCTCATTAGAACTATGAAATTGAAAATTCCCTTAGGGTTTTCTCTTTTTTAATGAAGCAGTGTTGTCTTGTCTATCTTTTTTATTTATTTATTTTTTAAAAATTATTTGTGCTTCTCCTCTAATCATGTGTTGGAGTTCAGGTTTATCTTCTTTTTCAGGCAAAAAAAATGTCTCAGATTGGCAGCAGAATCAATGACTGTATACCCGTTTTAAGGCACTTTTGTTGAGTGCCGTTAAAGACTTGTGGGAGGGGGGGGAGTTGAGTGTTGTTTTTTAAGTATATGCTTTATCCAAAGATTAAATTAAAATAACTGTAAATTCGGCTCTAAACAAAATGAATAATTCATCAGTTGAAAGTATTTCACTTTGTCTAGGGAGTAGGGACTTTACTTTCTGGTTGAGGCTTATTTGGTTTGATTTTATGGGTCTGGTTTTTTATTTTAACACTTGTCTGTGCTCTTGAAGCAGCCTTTTGTAAAGATGTATTTGTAGATTAAATAAGACTAGATTGTATAGATACCTCTTATCCCCATTTCATAGATAGCAAAACTGAGTCAGGTGTTTCACTTGGCTTTGTGATGCAAGGCTACTTTATTCATAAGAAAATGGGTTTGGATTTCTCAAGATACTGAGGGTATAGTTTCATGATAAAGCTGAGCTGAATTAACGGTTTGTCACCATCTCATCCTTAGGTGTTACCCTGTCTCATCACCCGTCTCAATTCCTCCTCCTCAGTTTCCTCAGAAGTTTCCCTGCTTCTGCCACCCTGCGTTGTGCCAGATACGTTTCTTGTCTGTTTGAAATATCAGCCAATTCAGCTCGGTTAGAAAAAAAAGAAATCCTTTTTTATTGCCCCCTCCATTTCATTGAATTGGTTCGGCTTGCTGTGCAGTGAGGGTGTGCCAGAACTGGCCCAGGGCGAATGAAGGGAGTGCACAACGGAGAGCACAGGGAAGGGGAGGTTTAACAAAAAGATGTACAAATTTTCCATGGTGGTTTGTTGTTTTGTTGGTTTTTTTTTTGCTCTGCTTGGGTTTGTTCTGATTGTGTTTGGTTTGAGTTGGATGAGTTCCTGGTTTGGTTA